CAGGTCCTCCTCCTCCATTCATCTCTCTGTGCCCTCCTTCCGTCTCAGCACCATGGGGAGTAGAACCTTCAGCTGCACCGCTCCCAAACTCTGGAACTCCCTTCCCCCTCTCATCAAGAACATTAACTCATTCACAGAATTCAAAAAACAACTCAAAACTCACCTCTTCATAACCACGTATCAACCTTGAATTTTAGAGTGCCTTGTTTGTTATTTTTGTTTATTTGTTCTGCTTATGTTGTACTTATGTTTTATTTATTGAATGGTTTGTGTTTTTATTCTGTACAGTGTCCTTGAGTGACCAGAAAGGTGCTATTTAAAAAAAATAAAATGTATTATTATTATTATTATTATTATTATTATTATTATTATTATTATTGTTGTTGTTCTGGAAGAGGTCCAGAACAACGGAGCAGATGCTGCCAGCTCCTCCTGGAGCTCCAGGCCTCCCACTCTGCTCCCATCATTGTCCAGCATTTCAGCTGCTTGTACAGCAAATCTGGAGGCAAAGCACTAATAAAGAGAAATTTGCATGTTTGATTACAACTTATTTGGTCTTTGGAGAAATATGCAGAAAATCATTTGATTGTTTGGCTTTGCTTTTGATTTTGTTTGAATGAATTTGCCTTTAATGCTCCTGCTTCTGCCTGAGCTTCAACCCAAAGGCAATTGAAGCTTGAGCTGTGAAATGTGAGTCTGAAGTGTTCACTGAATGCAGACACCATCCACAGCCTTATTTTCTCTTCTGTGTATTCCCACTGCATCAGAGTTGAGAGTGATCTGCCAATTAGGACAGCACAGGATCATCCTAAGAAATGTCTGAAACTCCCACAAAGCCTTGCACAGTTGTCTAAAACAGAGGGTGTTTATGCCAATCTGTGGCTGTGCTGCTAAAGGGACTGGTGGGAAGAGAGGAGATGAAGAGAGAGGTGTGATTTCTTCCACCTTCGCAGAAACAACAGGTCGGTCCATTAAAAATGCATGTATGCTGAAATTGCACAGCAAAATAACAACTCCTTTGAAATCCTATTTCCCAGCAGATTGTTAAAGCGTGTTCCAATAAGTCTCATTAGTTAGCACGGAGTGTATTTCACCATTCTGCACTCCCAATTTATTCCATGTAAATGTCACAATGGCTGTCAGTAGCTTCTTCTTTCGTTTAGTGGGAATTTGCGCTCAATGATTTTATGCCAACCGGCTCTATATAGTAACAATTACTTTTCTGAAGCTACACAGCAGTTTTGACAAATTCCCACCTGGTTTTAGTAAAAAGTATTCAACAGAAACGGGGATTTTACAGTCTTGGTGTTGTTGGATTTTTTTTTTTTTTTTTTTGCAGCTTTTGACACTGTTGATCATAACACCTTAACAAAGAGTATTGTGACTCAGTGCGAATCGCTGGAATGGTTCTGGATTGGTTCCGATCATGTCCAATTTGGTTCTGTGGGGTACCACAAGGCTCTGTTTTGGGTCCACTCTTGTTTTTACTATATATGAAGCCTCATGGGCAGAACATTTATTGTTTTTGGAATGTTTCCTATCACCTATATGCAGAAGACATTCAGCATTTTTTCAAATATTATTTTAGCACCAACAAGATGCTGTTCAAATACCTATTAGCTGGATAATTTGGCATTAGTTGGATTTGTCCTGTTTCAGGTTTGTGACATAACATCTGTTAATGACGTGACTTTAAGATACTCCTAAATAGTTCTTTTAGAAGAGACACCTTTTGATTTGTCCAGTGCTTGTCCACCTTCCCCATTTACTGCATAAGCGTACATCCATCACCATGCTGGCATGTTCACATACAAAATCTGAACAGAAATTTGGTAAAGAAAATAATTGAAGGCCAAAAAAAGGCTTTGAAAGACCTTCGTGTAACTTGGAAAAATCTAGACCACTTAAGGACTGCAAGACAGTCTTGCAGCTTGGAAGAAAATTCCCAGTTCTTTATTTATGAATCATGGAAGAATAAAGGTCAGAAGAAGTCACCTTGTGTTCTCGCAAGATCATCATCTCAAACAGGAAGTATACACATCACTCGCGCAGAGCTGTTGTTCGACATCATTCATTATGAATTCATCCTATTGATTGTGTCTTTATCTGAGGAAGATATAGGTTATATTATCCAGCCGTTCCTCTCCGTGGTTCCCTTTCAAAGGTGGATGTCAACTAAGGGGAGAAATTAGATTTGACTGAAAGGGCACAAGAATGTCCAGAAGGCGGTCTTTGTGGCTTCTAAGAGAGGACCTGTTTGAAGACATGATTTGAATTTTAAAGCTAAGTATGGTTAAACAAAGCTGTGACCATTTTCAGTGACTTGGATGACAATCCTCTAAAGAATGGCAGGAAATACATGCTTTGTATCTAAATGTATTAACCCTATGATGCATGAATTATGAAATCTTCAACCACGATTTTTTAAACAATTTTTTCATTCATATTTAGGTGTGAATGAAACAAATTTCAACAAATATCTTTTGTAAAATTTTGTTAATTTACAAATAGTTTATTACATGTCCAACTCAGGGGACAGCGTGCGTTCTGAACATGAAATGTGTTGGCTTGACTTGCTGAAGCACAAATGGAGGGGCTCACATGCAATAAAGTCTTCAACAGCTGTGCTTAATAGCAAAAATAAATAAATAACAATTTTGAGTACCTGTCCACTGTAGTGACCATTATGCATCAAAGGGTTAAGATCAGCTTAAAAATGAGTTTATTATTTTAAACTTTGGGTTAATTTTAGATCGCATCAAATCAGCTTTTAGACTTATACAAGAAATCCATTCCAGCTGGCATCAATCTGCTTCCTTCTTTTTTCTGACTGAAACCAAAGCAGGATGATAATTAGGTAAAACATATGTGATATGTATGTCGATGGGTAAGACCCACTAGGACACAGTTCATGAGACTTAACAGAGGAGTGGAGCCCTGGCACAAGACGCGCCTGTTAAACTCTGGTGTGAATCCAGACCTCAGAGCCAGCACTCGTCTGGGGAAAGCATCTCATGAGTTCTGATTCGGACAAATCCATAACTGAGAAACGATTTCCAAGTGAGCGGAAACAAATGGTGACCCAACCGTCTCATAAAGCTGTGGTCGGTGATGTGATGTCAGCACGGAGAGAAGATTTTGAAAACTGAATAGTTATAGCTCCCACCCTGCTGGAAGTAGCTGAAAGCCACGCTCCATGCAGCGCGCACACACGCACGCATGCACACACACACACACACACACAGGTGGAGTTTGTCCCTTTGGGAAAGGCTAGCTATACTTGATATCACAGAACAGGGTCAGAAAGTCACATTTAAGCATTTTATTTGTCATTTAAAATTTTTTACTACGTACCCCAGCTTGAAGTTTGGTTCCACTCGCCCAGTATAACCATCACAAATGGTGTTCAGAAAGGATTTTCAGCCAAAACTTTGAAAGGATCCAATTTCATCGACTCAAAGCGCTAGGTTTAGCTATGCCAAATTGTAGTTCAATAGATTGCTTTATAGACACGTTTCTGTGCAGAGATAAGCTGGTAGCCATCGTGAATGTCTCCAAAAGTTAATGACTTAATTGTAGATGATTACCAATGATTACTTATTGGCAGATTGATTCAAATCAATCCACAGATTCACTTCCTGGAAACTAATTTAGGACTTTTTATGACAGATTTTTCAAAAAAGGTGGATCTGTGGCTGAATCTTAAACAGCAACAAGCAGCTCTCTTTATTTTTAAATGAGTAAACCTAAAACACGTCTCTGACACATAATCCTTGATTTAAAATGTGAAGATGATGGCAGACCCATGCAGCACATCGCAGTAAGATTCAAAACCCACAACTGCCCATCATTATCTGACTTTATCACACTCTAACATCTTCACGTGTTAATTATGACCTTATCTATGTGACTGTGGGCAATTACGTGGGACTTTGCTGTGATTCGAGATTTCTTTTCTCCATCAACATTTTACAAACTGCAGATAAAAATTAACCTGCGAGGATTAATTAAGGTGCATTTTGCATTTAATCCAAGTCATAATTTCCACCTCTATTGGTTGAAAACTAAAGAAAAACTTCCAGTTTTGCAACTCCTGTTAAAATACTGCAAGATGTGGCCTCTTCCATAAAATGTAATGGTTTCCTCACATTTTTTATTTATTTTTTATTATTTGACAACTCTTGTGTGCAAGCTTTATTTACTGATGCACTTGCAGGTGGAGAATTTGCACGGCTGTTTCACAAGAAGACAAAATTATTGAATAAGTGTTGTTTTCCTGTGTGATTCATGTTTTATTGTTGGAATTAGTTTGAGTGTTCAACACAATTCCTTCAGATAAATATATAAACAAATGAATGTATGTATGGAAATTAATCACTAGGAGTGTTTTAGGCTTGAAGGCTGCATGATACCTGCAGCAGCCGATAGCCTATTCCAGAATAATCACTGCAGGTTTTGAGTCATTTGTAATCCCTGCTTGTGTGCCAGCAACTTGAGTGTATCAATTAAAGATTAACTGAAGGCAGTACACATACAACTATAGCAATCTGCATTAAATATTCATTGGTCAGGACCCTGTGGAGCCTTAGCTCTTGATTATTACGGGGCATATCACCAGTTCATGTGATTACTGGATTAAAATCCAGCATGGCATTTCCTGCGTCTAAAATCTGAAATAGGGCCTGTTGCCAGCGGTTTCCACTGCAGCTACATCCAGTAACATCAAGGTTATTTTTAGCATCTCTCCACCTTGTCAGACTGGAGGAGAGGAGAACCCCCTCCTGTAACAAGGGGGGTGTCGGTGAGAGGCTACCCTACATCTGGAGGGGAGAGGGAGCGAACGGGAAGAACCCTGTGAAGGTTTGGAGATACGGTTATGTACAAAAGCTGAAGTCTTCTTCGGGATGACATCACTGAGAGCTCTTTTGCCCTTACTTATAAGGCTGCATAAATAATCTTGGGGGGGTTGTTTTGGAAAACGTTATTCCCACTCTTCCTACCTGAATTCAGGTGCCAGGTTGGATTTCAAGCCATAGAAAGCAGCTGATAGAGTCAGAAGCCAACGGGGAACAAAATTCCCATTTTCACACTCCAAGTAAGGAGCAGACCAGTTGACGTGCGTTCTGTCCGGGATGAAGCTCTCTGTTCTTTTGGAAGATCTGTCCGCAGATCTCAGATCTTGGCTCAGAACCCTTTTCTGAAAACTGGGGTTCTTCCTGTCTTTCATCTCGTGGTACCACTCCGTGTCTGCGGTGCGGCTGTGCAGATGGCGGTGCGCCACGCTGGAGAGGTCTTGGAGCACAATCTCTCCACCGGCCCTGGTGGCTTGGAGAAGCATCGATGGCCCCGCAAACGACGAGTCCCCGCCAAAAGTCACCACCGCCCGGTGGATCTTGGTGTCTCCCTCCAGGATACTCCGCACCAAGGCGTGGTACCACTCGATGTCTCCCCGGAGATTGTGCTCCCTGGACCTGTTGGCTTGGAGGATCATGTTGAGGAAGTTTGTCGCGTGCAGCACCGTGTCCAGCACGCTGCTCATGGAGTAATGCGGGGTTGTGTGTGACCTTCCCCGCAGAGAGGAGAGCTCGTACTTCCGCGAGCAGTTGGCGTGCTTTAAGGTGGTCGAGTCCCCCGTGTGCAGGAAAGCTGTGACCACTCTGGGGAGATGCTCCTCTATCTTTTGCGGCAGCCCCGCTGTCTCCTGCGCACTGAGATGCGCCAGCTGCCGGCGGTGCGTCTGAGCGCCGGGGATCGCCTCCTGTGCTCTGATGTCTCCCCCGTGATCCGACCACAGCGAGGAGATGTGGTTTGATCCGAGCAAAATTCCCACTTGCAGCAGCAAAGACAGCCGGGAAACAGCCATCTCCCCCACAGAAAGCGTTCACAGATGTTTAGGAGGGATTTAAGCGTCGTCGGGCGGACGTGATGGGGAAAATCTACCAAACTGCTCCGCTAAACCATTGCATCGCCACTTGTGGGATATTTCCTGAAGCCTCCACGCCTCTGTTGTTGAAAGCAGCAGCCAGGAAACCCTTCCAACGGCCTCTCCAAAGCCTTTCCCCTTCCTCACAGATGCAGCTTGTTGATGCTGAAGATCCGCTTGCAGCTGTCCCCCCACCCCACCCCCCTCTCCTCTTACGCTCCCAGTCTTGTTCGCTGTGCGGCGGATGTTCTCCTTCTGCGTGTGGGCTACATAGACTGAATCAAAAAGGAGAACGGAGGGAGGGACGGAAGGAAGGAGGGGTAAAGGGGCAGGTTGTTGTTATTATATTTATATATTTTAGGAGTCAGGAGCTTCTCGCTTGGATGGCACACGCACTCCGCCCTTTTCCGACCACAACGAGGAGGATCTAGAAGCCCCGGAGAGACTCCAGGACCCGTGCGCGTTCGCAGCCCGTCTTCTCCATCACCTCATGGGGCTCCAGGAGAGGCATCCATCTCCGTTTGACCGCTTCTGTGAGACACGGAGCAGCGTTTGGTGGAGCTGTCCACGGTCCTGAAACCCAGGAAGGAGCTTCCCGGGTTCTGAAACGGAAGACAGAGCTGTCCAGAGCTGACACAGATAAAAGCTCTACAAGCTGTTTGGTGCTGAAACAGATCAGAAGCATCTTAGGCATCATTTGACTTAGATCAACTCAAAATCAAAAAAGGAATGAACTCTGAAGTGTGTAAATCCCAAACATTTTAATTAAAAAGCTTATTTTACTTGAATATTTGTGTTGTTGCAGGAAAAACTATTTAGAAAAATAAAGGAAAGCATAATTTATGTTTACTCATTGTTTAAGACTAAAATTACTGATTCTTCAAAATAAAACATCCTCTAGTGTTGGGAGGTGACCAATATTCAACGTGATTGGTTTAATCAGTGATCTGCTATTCTGAAACTCAAAAATCCTTCAGTCAATGAACACACCCCTGCCTTGCAGCAAAGAGAAGGCTGTATCATTCCAGGTCCATGAACTCACCATTACTAAATGCTGATTCACATGAGCTAAAAAGTTGTGGACACACTTCCATTTCTGCTTAAATCTTTAGTTACTTTTAGATGTTTGAGACAAACTGGAGTCAGTCCAACCAACAGATCAGAGCTACGCAATAACACGGACCATCAGAACCTGAATGCATCCCTTTATGATGGTGAAATACTCACCATTAACAGATGACATGAGTAACATTTATAATGGCTGTGCTGACTTCTGAGTGTGGGACAGGTGAATTCTTACAATGAGCAAAATACCTAAATGTAAATATATAAATATAATTTCAAATGCTCTGATTGTATGAAAAGCTTCATTGGTTTAACAAAACAGTGCATTTACATTTCCAAAAGCTTTAAAGAAGACGTGCGTGTTGGAAGGGATCTGTCAACGACTTCCAGCTCTGATATTTTCTGTTTTCCTCCTGGAAGTTGGGCATGTCATGTGACACTGTGGGGGTCAGAGGCATCTCGCTGGGCCTGGGAGAAGGCAGGTGTGACGGAGAATGACAGAGCTGACCTGGGTGCCACATCAGAATCGTAACTTAAATGCAGCTGCAGCCACATTTTTACCCCTTTTTAAAATAATTTATTTTGATTAATGCTGACACTGCATCATCGCTGCAAAATTATTCCTCTAAGCGTACACCATGTAGACAAATGATGAAAAACTCTGTTTCTGTCTTTTTTGTCACATTTAAATGTTTCAGATTTAAAAAAATTATTTCAGGAAAAAAAAGAGTAAATGCAAAACTTAGATTTTTAAAGGATTTTATTTATTTTAAAAAACAGTCATCCAAACCATCCCAGCCCCGTGTAGTAAACCTAATAACTGGTACCGCCCAAGAACTTTAATGAAGAGCTACTGAGTCTCTCGTCTCTGTGGAGGACCTTCGTCCCAATATTCTTTAAGTAACTGACTGAATTCAGCATGACGCATTACCATGTTAAAGGTTAAAGGTCACATTTTCTCCTGCAGGGTTTTCTGCTACCGAGCTAAATTCATAGTTCCATCATTTACAGACCATAATACTACCACCATGGCTGAATGTTTCTACTTTTCTGAAATACTTTATTAATTTTACACCGGCTGCAACAGGATAGTCCCCTTCCAAAAATCCACAGGATATTTCCACAAATATC